ATTCTCACCTTCAGGGCTTAAAAGCCTGAGGCTCTGGGGCCTGCCAGGAAGTAGAGGCTGTTACTCACTCTGATGTTTCATCTCCTTGAAGACAAGTCTTTTATGAATATTTTCATACATGTCAATGTGTCCAAATGGGTCTTTTTATAAAGAGAACAATTTTTATCGAATTCATGCAAATAATCACATTACCATAAAAACATGAATAATTTTTAAAATTTTGGATGAATCAAATGCAGATGCTTTCACCTTTGTTCACAAAAGTACACTTTGCCAAATTGTTATAAATTATAGAAAACTAAAACAAGTTTCCTTAAATCTAGAAAACAAAACATTTAGTAAAGAACCAGTAAAACTTCATAAACAAAAGACTTAAAAGCCTGTAACTATTATCATGAAGTTAATTCTTGTTTTTCTGATCTTCATTACTGTTTTTATAAACCCAACCAGTTTCTTCATTAAAGTTCTGAATACCTTTGAAAAAAAAAATCTGTGATTTACAAGAGTATAGACCATAATACTGAAAGACAATAATGCCATAATCTTGAATGTTGAAATCAAAATCCCTAAAGTCTAAAACCCAGAAAGATCAAAATCCCCAAATTATCATTCTGGAAAATATATCAGAAAGATCAAAATCCCCAAATTATCATTCTGGAAAATATAATTTTAAGTTCCTTAATGGACATTTATTTACATTTTAAAAGAGATTTTTGAGAAACATAAAAACACAACAGAATACTTCATAGTCCACTTTACACAATAAAAAAGCAATAATAGCATACATATTTTTGCAAACATAAACACTCTGGCATACTGACGTAGTTACAGGACTATAACAGTTATGAGCAGATGAATTGTATTCATAAATAAATAGTCAAAATGCAAAATACATAAATGCGCAAGGGTGTGGTTGGTAATTGTACACTCAGCTTTAACTGTTGTCATCAGACATACTGTGCCAGACAGCCTAAGTTTTGGTAAGATTGGTCAAAAACTTCAATGAGTCACCATCACATATGCAGCTGCCCAAAGAGTTAAGAGCTCAAGAAATTTTATCGTTCTCAAATGCAGATGTATAAAAAGGACTTCTCTTCAATTACTAAGGAATTGAACTACTAAGGAAGTTTCAACTTATTTGTGCACAGGAACAGGGCTCACACACAAATCCAACTTTGCCATCATGCACTTTCATGACATTAAATTTGCAAAAAATGCATAAAATGAATTAGAACTCACTAAATGCCTTCATATAATTTATGCCTCCAGTATTGGAAATGATGCAAAGTTGAAATTGTAGCATAATGAATTGTAAAATGTATGCTGACAGTTTAAAATAAAGGGAAAACACCACTGACGAATGGATTAAGAAAATGTGGTATCTATACACAATGGAATTTTATGCAGCCATGAAGAAGAACGAAATGTTATCATTCGCTGGTAAATGGATGGAATTGGAGAACATCATTCTGAGTGAGGTTAGCCTGGCCCAAAAGACCAAAAATCGTATGTTCTCCCTCATATGTGGACATTAGATCAAGGGCAAACACAACAAGGGGATTGGACTATGAGCACATGATAAAAGCGAGAGCACACAAGGGAGGGGTGAGGATAGGTAAGACACCTAAAAAACTAGCTAGCATTTGTTGCCCTTAATGCAGAGAAACTAAAGCAGATACCTTAAAGCAACTGAGGCCAATAGGAAAAGGGGACCAGGAACTAGAGAAAAGGTTAGATCAAAAAGAATTAACCTAGAAGGTAACACCCACGCACAGGAAATCAATGTGAGTCAACTCCCTGTATAGCTATCCTTATCTCAACCAGCAAAAACCCTTGTTCCTTCCTATTATTGCTTATACTCTCTCTAGAACAAAATTAGAAATAAGGGCAAAATAGTTTCTGCTGGGTATTGGGGGGGGAGAGGGAGGGAGCGGAGTGGGTGGTAAGGGAGGGGGTGGGGGCAGGGGGGAGAAATGACCCAAGCCTTGTATGCACATATAAATAATAAAAGAAAAATGAAAAAAAAAATAAAATAAAGGGAAAAAATCAAAAACAAAAAAGAATTCAACATGTGAAAAAATGTATCGCAGGGGTAGAGTACAGGAAATTGCACAAAGGTAGTCTACAAAGCTGGCCTACTTCTGTAGTCATGTACTGTATTTTGAAGTTTTCTTTCATGATGAATAACTGCTTTTTAAATTTAATGGCATGACCTCCTCAAGAATCCATTCACATTCATTTCCTGTGTGGTGGGTCTGCCCATCTAGTCCATTGAGACACATGGTAATCTCTTCTGGAAACTCCTTCACAATCACCCAAAAGAATGCCTTTCCAGGTTTTTAGGTATCAGTCTACCTAACATAATGCATCTGTCCTATGTACACTGAAAAGATTAATTCCTTTTCCAGAATTCAGCTTCCAACCCTTCATAGACAGCCCTATGAAGAACCACAGGGAATTGTGGCTTGGGGATTTTGGCTTTCAGAATTTCACCTTTTCAGATTTTAATCTTTGGGGATTATAATTTTTTGAATTTTAGATTTTGCCCACGTGCCGGACAAAACCCTGGGGCAGTTGCTAAGAAATTGACCCTTGTGTTTAGTGTGATAGCTCCAGGGGGCAGTAGACAGTGGGCTGGAGGGACATTGCATGGTAAGTATAAGTGATAATGCCAGGAGCCCTTTGGTGGCCCCTGTGATGAAAGCATTGGGTACCCGTTGAATGATAACGACTATGACATGGCCTGGAAGCTTCTACTGTGTCTTCTCCAGCATAACAGCCCCTTACCCACCCACATACCTTCAAACCATTCATCCCTGGAGAGACCCCTCCATACTTTCTGGTGGACAACTACTTAATCACTGGTACAAATTGTTACAAATAATTGCAGTGGAGAATCTCAGGATCCAGAATTTGTAGTGAAATATCTCAGATTGATTTCCTTGCCTCCTGTGAGGTCTGCAAGTAGGCTAACCCCACATAATGAAAAAAGCTTTAAGAATTCTTTAGGATAAATGTATATGTGCACTCATAGTTTTAAGTTCATTAGCTTTTCTGTTGGTCTATGTTTAAGCAATATGGATCATCATTACTAATATTCCTTTTGCTATTGAGTTTTCTTTTTTTTTTTTGGTTCTAACTTGAAAAGAGTTGCTGACTTATGCAAAGGAACTACACAGAAGCCTTGTTGAAATGTGTAGATTTGAACTGGTCACAAATTATCCACTTGGTGAATGAATATTATCAGCAGTTTAGGGGAATCGTCCATCCTGTCTTCTTGCATAATCCTCATATTTGTGCTCAATTCTAAATTTCATAATTGTGTTCCTTCATCTTTCAAATGTTTATTGAGTACCAACTATGTGCTGGGACTTTTTCTATTTACTGGACTACCTTAGTGAACAAAACAGTCCAAGATTCCTTCCTGCATAGCACATTCCTATCGAGAAGAGGCAATCAGTTTAAGTAAATAATACAAAATATGCAAATTATACAATAAATTTGAAGGAGATAAGAGATACAAGAAAAAGTAGAAAAGGGTAGAAGGCAACAGTGTTCCCAGGGAGTGAAGAGGAGAGAGCAGGTTGCAATTTGAGGTAGAGGGGTCCGTGTCCTCTTCCTTACAGGTGACATTTGAGCAAAGACCTGAAGGTGAGAGACTTGGGTATGCAGATGTCTAGAGGAAGATTTCTGAAAAGGAAAACAGCTAGTGCCAAAGTGCTAAGACTGGAGAGTACCAGGATGGGGAAGAGACTTTGTACTTTTCCATTCTACATAGACAAACAAAGGCTTATTGTAACCAGGAAGGAAGTTAAGAAAAGACAAAAGTAAAGTTTATTTGTATTAATGTCGAAGCAATTACAAACTTATTTAAGGCGGTACAAAGAGCATTAGGGGAGATTTTCTGACTTCAGACTGTTTGGCTTTTAATCCTTGCTCCACTTCTTTTGCCCCTGAGATCTTAGGTGAGATCTTAGGTGAGTTAGTCAAACTCTTTCTTCCCCAGTTTTCTCATCTGTAAAATGAACCTAATGATAGTACCTTACAAGATTGTTTCAATAAATAAGTTTTTTATTTATTGAGTCAGTATTTGTGAAAAGCTTGGAACTCACTCTGACACAGAAAGTGCTCAAATATTTGCTACTGATATTATGTTATAACTGCCATTTTGATTCCTTTTATGGGAGTTGGTGCCTTAGACTGGTACATTCTTTGAGTGCATCTATGGTTTTTATATTGTGTGCACTGTGTGTGCCTTGTGTGTGTATGTATATATGCATTTAATGTGCTTGTTTGTAGGTGATGAAAGTGAGGCTTTATTTATAAAATTGTAAGGATTACTTAAAAATCCCAGTGCTTAGCAAATAGTAAACCTTAATAGATATTAATTTTCTTCTCCTCTGGCAGCTTTTTGTAGCAAAGAAAAAGAATACATACAGGGTTTTCTTTCTCTGCTCACAATTAATGCATTTAAGTGAATGGGAGACTAGAACAAAGGCCAGATAAAAACATTCTGTAGACTCCAACTTACAGACATGTTTTGCCCTTAGCACCACCAGCTGAAACAGGGAACCCCCACTGGGGTATTTTGGATATCAGTGGAAAGCAAATATTGGAAGTAGAGGCATGGATTCTACTACATTTCTACCTCTACTTCTAGGGCCATTAGGACCATAAATGCAGGAAGATTTTATTTTTAATAATACTGAGTCAAATTAAGTCAAGGTGTATTGAAGTAGCTGATGTTGAAAATCAGTTCTCTAATCTTCTAAAATCTGTCCCTGGGCCTGGCAACTTATGTGACCTGTTGAGGCCTGCCACCTGGAAAACACCAGAGCTGTGGACCATCAAGTATCAAGAAGAATCAGCAGGCTGGTGATCCGAGGTGTTGAGGAGAAAGGGGCAGTGTCCCCATTAGGCAAGGCTAGCTGGTGGGCTAAGCAGGGGGGACACCTGCAGCCTGGTGCCTACTCATGGTCTGCTGTTGTTTTGATTGACAGGTGTGGCGGCTGTCTCCAGTGCCCTAGATCACTCCTTTTCAACAACCCTGGAAGACGGGAAAGGAGCGTGTTATACATCTCTGATTTCCGACAACTGCTACCCGCCTAAGGAGGATTCTACATATTTCACTGGAATTTTTCAGAAGGAAAATGGCCACATCACCACTTCAGAGACCCCTGAGGAGCTGGGAACCCTTGGGGCCACCTTGCCTGATGTGCCTGGGATGGAGCCTCATGGCTTATTGAGTTCTGATTCTGGAATAGAGATGACTCCAGCAGAATCCAGCGACATGAACAAGATCCTAGCAGACCCCCTGGACCAGATGAAAGCAGAAGCCTATAAATACATTGACATCACCAGGCCAGAGGAGGTGAAAGTTCAGGAACCACATCACCCTGGGCCAAAAGATAAAGACTTGGATTTTCAAAACAAAGACACTGCAGTCTCTACAAAACCAGAAGAAGTCTGTGAACCTGACAAACCAGCTCCAGTGGAGGGAAAAATCATCAAGGACCACTTGTTCGAAGAATCCACCTTTGCTCCTTACATAGATAATCTCTCCCAGGAGCAGCATAGCGCTCCTCTGGTCACTGCCCCCGTCAAGATCACACTGACAGAGATCAAACCTTCTGTCACATTTGCTACCCAAGAGAAGTCCCCCGAGAAGCAAGATCTTCGCCTGAAGCCGAGTCCTGACACAGTCCCTACAGTCACTGTCTCAGAGCCTGAAGATGACAGCCCAGGATCTGTCACTCCTCCGTCCTCTGGAACAGGTAATGACACTGGTAGTCTCCACCTTAGGAAAGCCCAACATACAGAGGTCTGAATTCCCAAAGCATTTATTAGGGAGTGAAATGCATTCAAAACTCTTGACTATGCTCCCCTGCAATTTCATGTAGTTTAGCTGATTTTATTACTTTGCAACTTTTTCAGGCCTGTGCCTATTATACAAAGGTTGAGATCTGGGATTTCCCTTAAAGTCCTATGGGATTTGCTTTGTAAAATGTTTTTTTCTTCTTTTGATGGGGGAGATAAGGATGACTTACTGGAAAGATCAACACCATCATGTGACTCTGCTGTTTAGAGAAGGAAGGACGGTGCTACCTGTTTCTAGCTTAGCTTTCCACCTGAACATCCAAGTGTCCTGGAGGCCTCATGGTGAAAGTACCTTGGCTGGGCTACCTTGGCTATGGCATTTAACATTCCTGAGAGAGGCAGAGAATAGGTGGACTTCAGACTTCAGTATCTTTTAGCAGCAGCCTGGGCAGTGAGAAGAAACCTCAATAAAGGGCACTCCCTTTCCCCTTCAATCTCAGCACTGTCATTTTAATTTCTTTACTTCATTGAAGTTCTATGTGCAATTTCATGTTTGAAACTAAAAGATATATTTGGTTAGAGTTAAGAAAGTTTAGAAGGCACTAGGCTGTGATCTTTTGCAGTCTGAACATTGGTCCTGCTCCTACTCAAGACAGGATGTTAAACCATATTTAGATCAGTTCTCTCAAACAAAAAAAGGGGCTTCATGGACCTGGTGAAAAGCTAGGGTAGTACTAAGAGCTTTCTCAACCCACCCTGTACCACCCCCTCCAGTGTCCTCTAACACTACTCACCTTCTCTCTGGCCTTTACATCTCTACTGCTCTTGAGTGCCCCAAGAGGATCATGGGAGGTCCCAGCATGTTCCCCTGGCTGGCATTCTAATCACACCCAAAAGAGCTTTGATCAGCGTCTCAGGTAGAAGAGCTTTCACTGAAGTTGACAATGCCACAGCCTCAAGAGGAGGAGTGATGGCTCTGAAACACGATGTGGCAGACCAAATTCAAGTGTTAGAAAACCTCAGGCTAAATGAAAGTCCCTCCCTTCCTATTTTCCTAAAGACTGCAGCCCTGTTTCCTCCCCTTCCCTGGCATTACAATTGTAAAGCTTATAGGAGCCCCTGTACCAAATCCCTTAACTTTCAAACTCATTCACTCACCCAACAAATGCTACTCATTCACTCACTCAACACATGCTACAGACTTTCTTTTGGTCAGGAACTCTATGAAACACTGGTGATGTGGAAATTTAAAAACAAACAAGCAAACAAAAGCCATTCTTTCCTTCCACAGACAAACAGAGAATGGTCCCACTCCAGTGTGATTTGTATTCTGAGCAAGGGAAGTAATGATAAAGAGCACCCAAGTCCAACAGCTCCTCAGGTGATGGAGACTAAAGGTGGCTCTGAAAGGAGCAGGACAAGGTGCAAAGACAAGGAGTTGTGAGGTCACAGTATAACTGCACATAAGATATTAACTGAAATGTGTGTAGTGATGACAAATAAAGAATCTGAAGTTCTGAAGTGGATTGGATATGACTTGTCCTAACCTGAGGCATGAGGAAGGGGCATATTTGGTTCTCTAAGCATCCTTGTATTCTTTCTGATACTACAGAATAAAACCCTTCTATTATTCTATGACATAAAGATACCTGATGCTCTGAAGATGTAAGCTATAGTCAGTTGTGTTTACAGAGCTCCAGGGTTGTCTGGAGATCAATCCAGAAGAATGTCAGCCAGTCCTCAGGAAGATTGAAATGCACCAGCACATATAATCCATCTACATGACACACACTTCATGTGAAAATTAGTTTGCACAGTTAATTATGAGGACTTGATACAGGACCCATTAGTTATTAAGGAATTTCCTTCTTTTTTGTTCTTTCAGTAGTCAAGTTTCATTGGAGTTCTTGAGCAGCTTCAAGAGAAGTCAAAGATCTGACACACATGATCTTGGACTTTTATGGTCTTGCGTTGGGCAATGGCTTTCTCTGCAGTGGCAGTATGGGAACTTTCTAAGCAAGGTTTATTCAAGAAAGAGAAAGACCCTTGACCCATGACATGATTCTTGTCCACGTTCAGCATCTCTCTTTACACACATCCCATATCAAAACCCGAGTCCTAAGACGGCAAATGCGAATGGAATTAACAAGAGTGATAGGAGGAATCTGCTTATCACAGAGGCCTTTTCCTTATTCTTTTTATCCCAAGGGATTGCCCTCTTTTCTCTCATCTTCTTGTGAGTCTTAACATCATGGGACTCTTTGCCCAGACGCACTGGAAAACAAAAACTTTCCAACACTTGCTGAGTCCTAGGTCTCCCTACCTTTTCTATTGCCAACAGACAGAACAAGTGTCATGGATTGCATACAATCCTATGCAGAAACTGAGGGAAAATAAAGCATTCCAAGCAGAGGGAGTTCAGTTTAGCATTGTTTAATAGATAAGGAAATCATGAAATCTAGAAAATAATTAAAATGAAAGTCTAATTTTGAATAATTTTAACCACAGACCCCAACATTTAACCCATAGTCTAACCCAGTAGTCTAATCTATTTCCCTCAGTTCCTATAGATTATTCTATTTTGTGATATTCTCCAGCTACTTACCTATTTTCATCTTGTTCAATAGTATAATTAATCTGAGGTAGAGAGCAAGTTACTGGAAGTTTCTTTTCAGCAAAGATCAGTCATCAAAAGCAAAGCATTTGAGGAAAAGGTAATGGATGTCTGATGCACCAGCACCACCTTGTTTCTGACACATGCCAAGATGTGTGTTACAGCAGTCCTGGATGTTATTTGAGGTATTTGTCTCAACAAGGGCAATGATTAGGAGGTCATTGTCAAATCACCCCTCCTTCCCTTAGTAAGAAATGAGCAGTGAATGAGTTTAGATTCTTTAAAAACTACTGTGCATTAATGAGGTTTGATTCTTCACCCATTTTGCAAACTCATCCTCTTTTGGGGGGTGGTATTCTGGGGTAAACTCATTATTTAAAAGAAAAAAGAAAACTTAATGAGTGACTTCTTTATGTCCCTGAGCAAGGTACCAGGGACATGGCAGCGTATAAGATGTTCAAGGTCCCTGCCTTCATGTAGATCACTGCTAGCCAGAGGAGACAGACAATAAAAACAAATGCATAAATAAAAAGTGTAATTTCACAAAGTAAGAGTACTATAAAGAGCATTAGTGGGGTGGAGGTGAGGGGTTCAGGAATGCTCTCTCTGGGGAGGTTGGAGAGGTAAGTAGGGCCCAGATGTGTGTAAGGAATTTGGATTTAGATCCAAAAGCATTGGGAAACATTGGAAGGCTTTAACCTGGTGACATCATTCATTCATCCACTCGTCTATTCATTTAACAAATATTTGTTGATTTCCTGCATAAAGTTTGCATTCCAAGTGGGGGAGCACACACACAAATAAATAAATATTTAACACAATATCAGGCAGTTAAACAGTTATGAGGACAAATGAAGCCAGCAAAGTGAGGTGTAGGAGAGTAGTGGGCTGGTGCCGAGGAAAGGATTCTTCAGGCACTGAGAAAAGACTTGAATGGAGTAAGGGATCAAGCCATGCACATTCCTGAGGAAAAGGAATGGGACTGCTAAGGCCCAGAGCTGAAAAAGTTACAAGGCAGTATGGCTGGAATGGGGGAAGGAAGAGAAGGACAGCAGGCACAAGTTAGGTTTTCAAATGATCCATCTGGATGTTGTGTGGAAAAAACCTGAAGCAAGAGAGGACCTAGAAGGTGCCGTCATTCACAGCTGGACACAGCACCTGCGACTGGTAGAACTGCCTCGCCTTTCCTTTTATAGCACTGTAATTATCTGCAGCAACAAACGCATCACCAGGGGCAATTCTGACCTTCTCACATTTTATATTCTATTTGATTCTTTTAATTGACTCTTTCCACCTTGCTGTGTCAGTCCTGACACATATTAACCAATGTCATAACTAGAAGTCCAAAAGGCTTTAAACGGAGATAGAAAAGCCTGTTTTGCTGTAAAATTTTCCCTGATTCCTCCTAACAGCTTAACAAACTTTTAGTTTCCAATAAGAATGAAGGACAGGCACAAGGAAACTCCCTGTATTGCTATTTTAAACAAATAAAAATGTCTTTTTTTTCTTTTTGCAAAATCGGAGGAAGGCAGAACAGGTCCTGTCTGGAGAGTTAGTACCAGTGGGAGGGGGAGAAGTAAAGAAAGGGAGGGTGAACATGGTGCAAATACTGTGTACATGTTTGTAAATGGAAAAATGAGACCTGTTGAAACTATTCCAAGAATAGGCGGGGGGGGATAAAGGAGAATAATGGAGGGGGTGAATTCAAGTATGCTATATTTGATATATTGGAAGAACTTTAATAAATGCCACAATGTACCCCAGCACAACCATAAAAAAAAAAAAAAGGAATAAGGACAGGTACAGGCACATTGGCTCACAACTGTAATCCCAACTATTTGGGTGGCAAAGGTTTGAGGTTTGAGGCCAAGGTTTTGAGGTTCAAGGTTTGAGGCCAGCCTGGGGAGGCCCTACCTTAAAGAACAAGCTACTTATGATGGTGTACTCCTACAATCCCAGTTATGAGGGAGTTCTCAGGATGATCATGGACCAAGGCTGACCTGGGCAAAAGTATAAGATCCTATCTGAAAAATAACTAAAAGCAAAAAGGGCGGTAGGAGTACTGCAAGTGGTAGAATGTTTGCCTATCAAGTGCAAGGCCCTGAGTTCAAGGTACAGGACCACAAAAAAAAAACAAAACAAAAAGGGACAATGTCTATAAGAACTCCAAGTCTCTTTTGACTCATAATAGGCACCGGTGGCTTTTAAGGCTGCATCTCTTGTCCAAGATGGAACTCGTCGGCCCTCTTCTCCCACAAGAACATCCTTGCCCTTAGGTAAATAAAGCAAGACCCTGAGCTTTCTCTTCTGAATGCTCTAGCATAGTGGTTATTGACTAGAGGTAGTGTTGCCAGATTAAAAAAAATTAATAGGATATAGTTAAAAAAAAATCCGCCATTCACCTGAGATTCAAATTTAACTGTATGTTCTGTGTTTTCATTTGTGAAATCCTAGCTAAGTTCGTTGTCACACCCCTAACTAGAAGTGACTATTAGAACCGCACATGGAGTTATAAGATGCTGGGACTACATCCAAACACTTCTAAGTCATAATTTCTGAAGGCAGTTTCGAGCAACACACCTGGCTAAGGGCTTCCGTTCTATAAATCCAAGGTCACTCTCACAAGAGCACCATTTACTGAGCACTGTGGTAGCTGCTAGGGTTATGAGAGTGAACTAATGTTCCCTGGCTGCCCTCTCCCCTCATGACGCATCAGTCTGGGGCCAGGGAAAGTGGGTAAGACTGAAGAGGGACTTTAATAAAATCATCATACAAATCCAGGGGCCCCCAGCTGTGCAAAGTGGGTGCCCACTGGGTTCCTGAAGGATGCAGCATCAAGCCAGGTGGCTCCAGGATGGACTGTCTTTCCATGTGATCTCCCCAAAATACTGTGCAGGTAGGAGCTGGGTTAGTCCCAGCAGGTCACATAGTCACACAGAGGCTGCCATCATTAACTGGAAGGATGTGTGGCACAGGAAAGAAAGACACCCAACATAAGAATTTCTCCCCTGGGCATCAGACCAGATCTTTGTTTGACTTCCATGCTTCCAGCTATGGAATCCCTGTTCATTTGACTCTCCCAGGTCCAACATTTCTGAGTGATCTTTGACATCCTTCTTTTTTCTCATTTGCCCTGTGTCTCCTATTTCTCTCCTTTTGATGTCTCTTGAATTTTCTTCTCCTTTCCATCCTGTGGTCACCACAACTCATTGGGTTGTCAAAATTTCTACCCTGATTGTAGCCATCACAGAAGGTGTGAAGTGGAATCTCATTGTAGTTTTATCTGGTGAACAAGGATGCTGAGCCAGGCACCAGTGGCTCACGCTTGCAATCCTAGCTACTCAGAAGGCGGAGATCAGGAGAATCTCAATTCAAAGCCAGCCCAGGGCAAATAGTTCAAGAGACCCTAAGACTGTATCTTGAAAAGCCCATCACAAAAAAAGGCAGTTGGGGGGATGGCTGGTGGAGTGGGTCAAGTGGTAGAGCACCTGCCTTGCAAACCTGAGGCCCTGAGTTCAAACCCCAGTGTGGCCAAAAGCCCACAAGGATGCTGATCATATTTTCAGGTGCTTTTTGGCCATTTTCTCTTCTTCAGAGAATTATCTGTTGAAGTCCTTTGTCTACTTTTACATTCAAGTTCTTTGCCTTTTTGTAGTAGGTTTTTTTTTTTTTGTATTTTTTGTATTTCTGACAAGTCCCGTATCAGAAATTATATTTTCAAATATTTTTTCCATTCTTTTGATTGTGCCTTCATTTTCTTGATGGTGTCTTTTGAAGCACAAAAGTGTGGGGTTTTTGTTTGTTTTTTGTCATCCTGGGAATTTAACTTGGCCTGATGCACACTCGGGAAGTGTTTCTACCACTGGGCTAAAATCCCTTCAACCCTTACATATGTTTAATTTTGATGAAGCCCAATTTATCAATTTCCTTGGTTTTTTTTGCTTCTGTTTTTGATGTCATACCTAAGACATTGTTGTCTAATTCAAGGTTATAAAGATTCACTTCTGTTTTCTTCTCGAGTTTTATGCTATATTAGCTCTTATTTAGGCCATTGACCTACCTGAAGTAAATTTTTGCATATGGCATGACCTCTGGTAGGGTGTCCAACTTCATTATTTTGCATGTGATTATCCAGCTTACTTCTCCTCTTCTTCTCATTCTCCAGTATATAACTGGCCCCTTCTCAGACTCCACTTCCTATTTTAAAAGAGATAACATGAGCCACGCATATAGTGAAAAACACATGAAACAGAAAGAAACAAGTTCATTCAAGACAATTTCTTTGTATCATGTAGCTAGCAGGAAACCAGTGACACACTCAAAAGTTGTAACTGGAGAGTTTAAAGACAGTTATTTATAAATGTGTAAAGATGGCTAAGAGAACCAACATGATGAAACCTTAACCCTAGGGAACCATTACCATCCGGGGACCTAGAGGAGCAAGGAGAGGAAACAGCATTTGAAACCCACCAAGAGCTGGAGCTTGAGAGTGGGAGTTGGTATAAAAACTTCAACATCTCCCTCGTCCCAACCTTTCCTATCTATTGACTAAAAAGAACCAGAAACCAGAAGGGAAGGGATCTTGCATAATGCAAAAAGGGGGCACAAAAAGATGGGATCGGACCCAAGGGAGCAAAGTCAGAAAAACTAGCACAATGACATTGGATGTTGTTAAACCTACTGCCACTAGATACCATATTTGTAAGGTGCCCGTCACCCAGCAGATGCTAACAGATGGAGCTGTGGCAAGGCTGGTGATCTGGAGGTACAGATGTGTTCTTATGGACTCTAGCTTCTACTCCCTGTGTTCCTCCTCCTGGCTGTAGCCCACCATTCAGGAGCAAGCTGATGTCACGTTTGTACTGCCATGCTATTTGAAATTTTAACAACTATTTGTACAGCTTATTAAAGAGCCAACTGCTATGAAAGTAGAATTGGAAATCATACAACAAATTTTTAAAATACATGTGACAGATAATGTAGCAGTTATTGCTTAAAGGCATTTAAAAGAAGATCACATCATTTCTCTACTCAAAATCCTCCAATGATTTCTCTTTTTGCACTCATAATAAAAGCCCCATGAGATCTAACCCCCACGTGCCTAAACTCTCCTATCATGCTCCCCCTAATTCACTTGTCCCAGGCAGGTAAGCCCCCTTTCGATGCCTAGAAATCATTGCAGCTCCTATGTCTGTGCCTTTGCACTGCTCCTATGTCTGTGCCTATGCACTTTCCCTCTGCTTGGCATGCTTTTCCTCTGTAAATCTTCAGGAGTCTCTCACTGCCTTCAAATGCTAAATATAGGTTCACTTCTTAAAGAGGCCTGTTCTGACCTCCCTGTTTAAAACTGCAAACTCATCTCACCCTATCCCAGTGCTCCTGATTCCCTCACTCAACTCTACTGTTCCCCATAGAACTTCTAACAGCTATATACTTTACTTATTTATTACATATGCTGTTTATGTGTTGTGTTTCCCTCCCACTATAAGCAAGGACTTTGTCTCACTCACCGATGTATTCCAAGTACCTAAGAGAGAGCCTAACATATAGTAAGTTCTCAACAAATAAAAGACAAATAATGTATGGATAAAATTAATTCTGCTTTAAAGAGAATTAGAAGCATCTAAAAGTTTTTATCCACTGGGGCTTTCTGCAATCCTAATGCATTAGATGATCTAGCCAAAGGGAGTCTCCTTATATTCTCCCCAGTGACCTCAATGCTTTGGAGAAAGCTTTGAACAACTAGTTCTTACTCACAAAAGGACCACAGACTACTGTCTAAGATCTCCTGAAGTAAGGCCCTGCACTATGGCAAGGCAAATCCAAGCTCCTGAATACTGTTGCCATGGTGATCCCGGGACATGGCATCCAAGGGAGAGAAAGCTCAGCAATACTGTCAGTGTGGCCTTCAGGCCATCTGGATAAACATCAGGCAAAAGGCAGGCACTGACCCTGGGGACTGGGGTGACTCTCAGTTACATTCTTCTCAAGAGGAGGGACAGGGAGGTGAGCAGCAGGGGACTGCCACCCTTGAAGCCCTGTGGGATGGTGCCTGATAGTAATATGCACAGGCTGCTGGAATTGGCAAAAATATCTCTTACTTGCTCCATCTTGTTACACTGTCCACTAAAAACGAGTAAACTATCGATTCTTATAGGAAATGAAAAACTTAGAAGTGAATTTGGATGTAAGTCTCCAAATTACTTATCTTTATCTTACTAAAAGAAAGCTATGTATGTGGCACAATGGATGTTTTTCAGATGTGTTGCTATTGATGGGTCAATTAAAGATATATCCATCAGATTATTTGATGAAATCTGTGAAATTGCACCCTCCTCCCCATTAGAGAGAGTGAATGAGAAATTAAAACGACTTCTAAAATCTTTGTGGTATTGAAATAGGAAAACCCACTGAGGTTCTGTTGCTAAGAAATTGCTGGGTCATTTTTTAAAATAGCTAGATTAAGATGGATAGGTATGTAAAACACTGATTAATTGGGCCACAACTGTAATTAGCCTTTTACTTCAGGTGGCCTGTCTTTCCAGCATAGCCCCGGAAACAGACTATTTTTTGTGCTAATGAGATATGTGTTTCTCAAGCAACCACCAAACATCTCCCCTAATGGAATTTTGTTTTATTTCTTCTCTCTGTGTCCATCTGTCTGTCTGTGTGTGTGTGTGGCACTCTGGCTCTTCTTGGTTCTGTGGTACGACAGAACCATCTGCTGCAGAGTCCCAGGGGAAGTGCAGCATCTCCGAGGATGAGCTCATCACTGCCATTAAAGAAGCAAAAGGGTTATCCTATGAAACCACTGAGAGCCCAAGGCCGGTGGGCCAGGTGACCGACAGGCCCGAGGCCAAGGCCAGGTCTGGGCTACCGACCATCCCCAGCCCTCTGGACCCCGAGGCCAGCAGCGCGGAGTCAGGAGACTCGGAAATCGAGTTGGTGTCGGAGGACCCCATGGCCTCGGAAGACGCGCTGCCCTCCAGCTATGTAACCTTCGGCCATGTGGCGGGCCCGCCACCTTCTCCCGCCTCGCCGTCCATCCAGTACAGCATCCTGAGGGAGGAGCGCGAGGCCGAGCTGGACAGCGAGCTCATCATTGAGTCGTGCGACGCGTCCTCGGCGTCCGAGGAGAGCCCCAAGCGGGAGCAGGACTCGCCCCCGATCAAGCCGTGCGTCCTGGACGCCATTCGGGAGGAGAGCGCGCGGGCGGAGGAGCGCACGCCGGGCCCGCGGGGCCCCGGCGAGCCGGTGCCCTGTCCGCCTTGTCCTTCCGCTGTCCCCCAAACTCGCCCCGAGCCGCCCAGGGGAGACGGAGCCTCCGCGCCCCAGGAGCCCACGTCGCAGAGGAAACCTGCTGAGACAGCAAGCTCCAAGCAAAGTCCCGCGGCCACAGAGGTCCCTGGGCCGCGAGAGCCTGGCATCGCGCCCTCTCTGCTGTTTCTCAATAAGCAGAAAGGTAAAGTGATAGCTTTCTCTGGTGGAAGGAAGCAGGCTTGCCCCTTACTTTTTCTCCCTGGGTGCCCAGAAGTATCAGCAGGAGGCTGTCTGGCTCAGCCCTGGAGCTGTCACCATGCTGGTCACACAATTGACAGAACAATTCCATGGGGGGTTGGGGGGGTGGGAGGAGAGGGGAGAATTCAGACTGGCAGCGGGGACAGACAGCCGTGTCAGAACCACGTGCTCCCCCAGTGGCGCTGGGCAGACGGAACTCGAGCACCCCTGATAATGAGCCGTTTTGTGTACACTCCAAGAACTGGTGAATAGATGAATGCGCCCTTCCTTTTGTTCCAGGGCTGGGCTTCCTCCCTTGAAAAGGGATGGTTTTCTTGTTATTGTCCAGGCTAGTTTCCAGTTTCCCACCTTCTCAATGATGGCAAGTGGCTAGGTCCTTCGTTGCTGAAGCCCACCGTTAGCACGCCCCATTTTTGCCAGCCAAAGGTGTTTCTTAACTAGGCCAAGCGGAGCTCAGCTCCATTCTCTCTCTTCCGTAAAGAGCAAGAGATTTGGATTGTGATAGGTTTTTGTGTCCCAGATAGTCAGGAAAGACAGGGACCAAAGTTGATTCCAGAGTTTCTTCTGCCCCTAAGCAAGACCTAAGGTGATTTATTACTTTTTAAAGTCACTTATAACTTAGAATTGTTTTAATTTCGTTGTCATGTTCTCCCTATGAGATGAAGGATAAATGGAAGTCATTATTTTCCCTTCCAGCACTGTATGTATAGATTCTTCCCCCCCCCAGTCATCCACCATACCTGATGGCAGTTTGTATCTCAGAAGTCGGAAAGGAATCAAACAGTCACACGAATAAATGAGGCTCCACTCCTTTTATTTTTGTTAACGGACTGACTACATTGGATACAGAGAGAGAGAACTTCTGCCCAACTCCTAGGTAGAGGACTCACAGGTATATCTTTAAAACAAACCCTGAAAGCACAACTTTACTCCAGGTCTCCTCCCACCCATCTCTTCTACTCTTTTGCTTCTTTAGAAGTATTTTGCCTTTTGAGGATAAATGATTTCAGGATACCACCCTCTTGCCTGTGTCTTTGCTAACTTCAGTGATGTTACTAGCAATTAAAATGCTTCATATAAAAATAGAAGACAAAAATCTTTCTCATTATAGATTGTAAGCTAGCATCTAAATGCTTTAAAATTAACACACTGGAAAGGGGGAACTTGGAAGGAGGGATAAAATAAAAAGATACCCCTGTCTTATGATTGGTGTAGCTTATACATGTGGTATCTTGTAGGGGTTTATGTAATTGACTTTCTTTTGGGGGGGGCTGCTAGGCATGCCCTGCGTGTATTTAGTGTGTGCAATAGGGCAGAAGGTGAGAATGTGGATTTGTTAGGTGACTATCAACACTAGTTTGGATTCTTTTGCCATTACTCTGATCACAATGCACAAGAACCCTGCAGCTTGCAGGGAACCAAAGGAAACAGCATTAGCATGGAAAACTTCAGTCTCCTGGGCCTGAAACAGGTGAACCTGAGTCCTGGGGAGTATGTGTTCTGTCACTATACTGTAACGGACATATGTCTCCATGTTGACCTCTCATGTTCCTGGAATAGTCACCATGTGCACAGCGCTATTCGAATGTTCATTCTAAAAAGTAAAGGAGTGTGAAGGCTGAAGAGAAAGGGAATTTTGCAGGCCATTTTCCTCCCTAGCAAATTGGAGAGACAAGCATGACACAACAGCTGTGACTGACCGACCAGACATGTGATGAGGAGTTGAGGGAATGGTAAGCTGCAGCTGTGAATGCAAAGGCTTCAGAGCATCTTTTATGACAGAGGGCTCAGGCCCTCTGCTGCCAAGTTTAGAAGTTAGAGAGGAGAGAGTGGCAATCCTTTCAAAAGCTTAAGGCCTGCCAGGGTGAATAACCTCTGCTCGCCTCTGCACCGAGGGCTCCTTTGAAATCTACTCTCCCACTGAAACACTCTGCTCAGCTGCACTGGCTAGGAAGAGACTAAATGGCCACTCTGGGGCAGCCAGGTCCTGGAGGCCCTGGGTGGATAACTCAGCGTCACCAGCAGCTTATTTGAGCTCTGAAGTTCCTTCTGGTCTCAGCAGCGCCATCTCAGCAGGTGAGAACAGATCAGTGCTGCCTGGCCTCCCCCAGGCTGTTCTTAATCACTGTCACTGAACAGTAGTTTTGTGTTCCTGCCAAGCACCACTCCCCTCAGCAGTGAGGTCAGGTTTGCTTTGTGGTTTCCTGCTCTTGTCCTCTGAAGCATGGAGAAGTGTAAGTGCATTCCAGTTAATGCATTTGCAAGTGTGCTTCCTCTTCCCTTGGGCTTTCGAGCTGCCTTGCTGCTGGTGGTCTTCATTTCACAAGGCTCTGGAAATATTTAGAGTAAGGTTTGCAGTGACCTCATGACAACATGGTGTGTACCATGAAGTTACACTAGGCTTACTGTCGCATGTGGAACAATAAGGTCTATTTTCCGAGTTTTCTCACCTCTTAGAGACTTCTGCTGTTGTTACCTCTTCTATACTCTTTACCTTCTATACAATGTTGACCTCCTACTGCCCTGTATTTCTGCTCTCCTGCATTTCTAGGACAGCCTGTTATGACAAGCAGACTCAGAAAGGGTAGATATGTTTTCATTTCTATAAGGTTAGCCCTAACCGTTAGGAACATCTGAGTGAAAAAGCCAATAAAAAATTCAATAAAATGCTAATACCCATTGTGATTCATCAGGACAGGTATGTGGCATTTGGGGAATCTATTTGATCGTAGAACTTTTTTTTATTATTATGGTGCACCTCTGAGGTAATCTTCCAGGGGACACACTTAGGGAAATAATGTTATTTTAGCCCTGACATCCATTCCCTATATTGTGATTGCTTTATCATGCGATTATATGGTGTTTATTAGACCAGGTCCATAGATAATCATGTTAGAAGCTGGGAATCTCAGGTTCCATCCAAGATCTGAAAAATCAGAATCTGCATTTCAACAAGATATCCTGGCAATTCCTATGCTCATGAAAGCTTGAAAAGCAATGTTTTAGGTGATGGCAGTTAGCCATCACATTCCTACCTGAAGCCATTCTACCAAACGTCACCAATGATTTCCCAGTTCTCTTACTCTCTCACTTCTTTTTCATTCTCTTTTGCTGCCTTTCTTCCAGTTCCTCTTACTTCTTCCAATAATGGGAAGTAAGAGACAAGTAAGTCCTTGTCTTTCTCCCTCCCTTAGATCCTAGCTCACGGGACTTCTCTTACACTGCAAAGCTTTTGGCCACCGTCTTTGGTGTGGACTTCCCAAATCCTTCACTTTGAGGAAATCTCTTCTGAGATCCAAGCCTATTTCTCCACTGCTTGTTGGACATGCTGTAGGCCTCCCAAATTCAACACATCCATGTTATTTGTCAAAATATGCTTCTTTTCTTCCTCTTTCCTTCCCTGTGCAAATGAAGTGATGTCATGACTGTAATCATCAGAATCGAAACACTATTCATTCTAGGAGGCTGATCTGATAAGCACTGCAGTTCTAAATATTCAGACACTTTGATACTCTTGCCAGATTGCCATCCTAGAAAGATAGGGGCAGAACTCTGGAACAAACCAGAGTTCTTATTTCCTCTTAGTAGAAGAGGTAAGAGGAACTGGAATGGAGGCAGCCAAAGAGAATGGAAGTCAGAGAGTAAGAGAAATAGGAAAAAGAAACATCAGTGCAGTAAGGGAAGAAAAAGTTCTGAGCTCTGTGTCCCTAATTGTATTGTTAAATAAAATTTCACAAAACGTTTTGTTCAATATGATATCAATTGTGCAATAAAAATTTACCTATGCACAATTGCTTAAGAACATTTTGGAAAGGAACACAACAACAATGAAAAACAAAATAACACAAAAGTCTGTGATTAGCCTCTGAGAATGAAGAGCAGGAGGGTTGAGAGCAGAACTTTAACTTTTTAATTTTGCACCATTTTGTACAGCTTGCATTTATTATCATGAATATGCATTACTTTCTTACTAACGTTTTAAGGATTGATTAGCAGTATGACATTACGTTAGGTTACCAGAGAGGACAAGAAAGATGATACTGAAAACAGTCTATATGCTTGGCAAGTAGGGATGTTCTTAATATTTGAAAAAAATTATCAAGATAAAAATACAAAATAAAATTTTCTTTGTGGAACCTTCAAGAATTTACCCAATGGCCCAGTTTGAGAAACAGCGCTTGAAGCCAGTTGCTCCCTTAGTGTTGCCTGGACTCCCAGTATCTCACAGGTTTCTGGAAAGTTTGTTAAAAATTCAGGTTCCTGCTCTATCTCTACCTCAAAAGTATAGAATGATAATGGGATGGAACCTAAATCTGAACTTTTTTCTTTTTTTTATTGTATCATTTTTACATTTACTTGCATGGGTATACATTGTTTGGGCACCTCCCCACTTCTCCTGCCCCCTCCCCCCGCCCCCGTTCTACCCTGTTGATTTCCAATTTTGTTGAAGAGAAAACATAAGAAAGAATAAGAAAAACATAGCATTTTTGCTAGTTTGAGATAAAGGTAGCTATATAGAGACATTCCTATTGTTGCTTCCATGCACATGTGTATTGCAATCCACACTGGTTCATCTCTACCAGACCTCTTCACTACTTCCTGGTCTCCTTCCCATAGTGGCCTCTGCTAGTTTAAGATTACTGTATTCACTCCTCTACAGGGAGCACATCAACCACATTCAAGTTTTAGGTTTCCTTCCCTTTCCCTATCCCTCCCATGCTCATTCTCCCCCTAGTGTGTGACCCATGTCCAATAATACTACTGCATTTGTTTTGGGTCTATAATCTGCATATGAGGGTGAACATGCTATTTTTGGCCTTCTGAGCCTGGCTAACTTCACTTAAGATTATGTTCTCTAGTTCCATCCATTTAGTTGCAAATGACAAAATGTCATTTTTCTTTGTGGCTGAGTAAAATTCTATTGTGCATAAATAAGCACTCTGA